AGAAGAAGAAGAAGAAGAAGAAGAAGAAGAAGAAGAAGAAGAAGAAGAAGAAGAAGAAGAAGAAGAAGAAGAAGAAGAAGAAGAAGGAGAACAGCACCTCGTAGACCTCTACTGGAAGCAAAGGCTGCCAGGCCAGAACTACTAGGTGTAAGGAAACTGCAAATCGCACAGACTCGCACTTTCTGTCAGGCTGCCCTGAGTGGTGAGTATTGTTTCCTGGTTATCAGCAATGGGCCCCTCTGTTCTTGCCCCCTGCCTCCTTGTTTGTTGTCCCATGCTGAAGTTTGATTATTTATTTGCAGTTGGCCCAGGACTCACACTTTCTAGACAAATGCCTTGCCACTGAGCTACATCCTCAAACTCTTTTGGTACCAAGTGAAGCCATAGTATTAGCTTCTGTGTGTCAGGCAGTGAGCCCTACAAAACAAATTTGTAGACTCTACAAAATTGTTTAAAAACTAATGTATACTTACCTAGACCCCGAGAAGCGATTGGCAGGCTTGAGTAGCATCCATATCTGAAACTAAAGTCCTGCAACTCAGGAATTTTAGCTGGAATTTGGTAATTCCGTCGAAATTCAGTGTCTAGAGGTCTGGGAAGGAACTTTTTCCATTCCAAGGACACCTGAGAACTTTTCTTAACCTTTTGAGCTAGGGTGAGGGTAGAAATGAAAATGGTAATTATTCCTGGTAAGCTACTTCTGATGAGGATTTCACCATTTTGCTTCTGACAGTAGCTTCTGGTGTATCACACTAAAGCTCATTCTTCTTGTATTTAGAGATATGGTCAGGCACATGAAGTATGTGCTGAAAGGATTATAAGTAGTTTCTAACCAATGTATCTATCCACTAGTAATGTTCTTTTGCTCTGCTTGATAGTCACAAAAGGAATTGATCACTTCCCCTACATCAGCGTTATCCCTAGGGAACAGAGGGAGAGATTTTGGACATAGCTAAGGTTGCCATATAAAACAAAAGCTGTCCAGTTACATTTGAATTGAAGATAAACAATGATCAATTTCTAGCGTTAGTATGTATAAGTACTCAATAGCTTCTAGGCAAACTTTTTTAATTTTCATAGCCTGGCAGCCCTAGATGACACTGTGTATCATCCCTACTACACGAAAAAGAATCATTCAAGGCTTATCTTTTATGGATGGAGTGTTAGGTAATACCATCATCATTGGAGAATAGCAGCATGATTGTTTCTGTGAACTATCTCTGCTGAGAATATTCATTATATACATCATTATCAAGTATCTGTGAAGCACTAATTAAACACTGGTTCCACATACACTCCCAGATTACACAGAATATCACAAGCCACTTAATTTAGAACATTCTCAACCCTAACTCTTGCTGAAAAGCTTTAATTCAGATCCCTACAGCACTATCTTACTCAGAAGGACAGAGATGAAAAGCATGGGTTTAATAATCAATATACAAACAGTGCAAATTACTATTGACACAGCTCAGCCTTCTTCTAAATTAGTTTTCCAATATATCTGTTTGAAAAACAAATTCTAATTGTCATTGTATATCAAAAGCTTCATAGAGGTACCTACTGGAATGCATAGTATATCAAAGGCCCCTTAATTGCATCCACTAACACCAGAGAAAAATTTCATGTTGATTTCCAAAAATGATCTCTATCTGGTAATCTGAATAACTACTTGAAGATAATAATATTCAATATGACCACCACTGTTAACTTCCTATCATCTTGTTCTGAAATTCTGTATCATTTTTATTATTTTTCCATAAATTTATTGATAGACAAATAGCAAAGAGACAGTTTCAAATCAAATTGGTAGGACAGTTTCAATAATTAACACATTGCACACATTCTTCCTAGTGGTTAATTGCTGCACAAGATGCAGACATGATATTCTATTTACAAACACTATTACAAAAAATCCTTCTATTAATTAAGAGAATATAACTATATATCTATCCTAACCATTTTGAATACACAGATACGAAATGGACATTCATTTTTATATCCCCTTTTTTGTTTAGTCCCACCATTTGAGTATTAGAGGTGTGTTAAATCAGCAAAATATTCTAAAAGAGTCCAGTAATCTATAATAGTATTGGGTCTTCCGCTTCACTGGCAGTGTCAGAAATTGTTGGCCTGAGTCACCTCAACATAACAACATGGCTTTACTTCTTGAATTCCATTTTTATGCTTTTCTGCTGGATGGTTAAGACCAAGATAAAGCAAGACCTATGCAACAAAAGTTGTAGCTTTTGAATCTGATAAGGTCAGTAAAATCCCTTCAGGATTTATCCTGAGATCCTGTACCTCAGACTGTAGAACCTTTGTCAGTGTCAGCCATGTGGATGAGTCATGGCCAATGCTTGGCCAGTGTGCTCCCCATGAAAGCCTGATAGAATGTTTTCTGTCCATGTGACTCTCCTTAGGCACACTCTACATCATCAATCACTTTCCTCTTTGGCCCCATAATCTCCTTGATCAGAAAATTTGGGACACTACTGAGTTACATGATGTTACAGTACAAGATCTCATATGTCCTCAGTCTTAATTGACCTTGGAAGGCTAGGGCCAAAATGTAGGCTTTCCTTGTGGCCTTCCTTTTTCTCTAATTTTGATCTGCAAACTTACATTGTTAACCATCCAGAAGAGAAGCTTACTGTTATTACCATACAACGTAGGCTGTTAAGCTTAACCTCACTATCTGTCTGAATATCAAACATCTTAGGCATAACATGGAACAGGTATTTTTCATCAAGTATTGATATGTTGAACTTTAAGTCCCTACAGAATAGGAAGAAAAACATTTATAAAAAAGTAAAATATATTTTAAAAATAGGCATAAAGAATTATATAATTCTTATGTTTCTAGCAACATTCCTTTTCCTGTCTCCTGCCTTCATTCACCACCCTCTTCTTTTGAACAGTCATCTACCTGAGAGACAGCACAACAGCAACTGGCATGTCATGACAAGCAGCCCATATTCAGAAGACCAGAATGACAGGCACTGCTCGCATAAACCTACTATTACAGATTGCCATCTTCAGTGCAGTTGCTTAGTTCACAGGTGTCTGTATATATAGTTAGTCATGGTGAGAATCATTCCAATTAACTGCTAGATTCAAAAATCTTCTGAAGATTCTCAGGATCATTGCCTTACCAATCTTCTACAAATAACAGTATAGCTTGCCCCTGTCATGTTTCCTAGCTCTTCTCCTTGTTCTCTTTTCATTGTCTAGTCCTCAAGTTCTTGCTTTCCTTTTAGTTGTATTATACCTTTCTATTTGTATTTCTTCTTTTGAGTTCTTATACTAGGGAAACTATGTGATATTTACACATGTGTGTTGGTTTATTTCACTTATGAGTATATCTTCAAGTGCCATCCAGTTCAATATAAAGGCTTTGAGTTTATCATTCTTCATAACTGAATAATTCTCCATTGTATAAAAATATCACATCTTTTTCATCTATTCCTCAGATGATGGACATCTTGGTTGTTTCCAAGATTTGGCTAACACAAATTATGCTGCTATAAACATAGGCACACATGTATCACTATGATATGATGTTTTCAGATCCTCTGGGAAAATTCCCAGTAGAGAAATAGCTGGATTAAATGGGATTTCCAGTCCAAGTTTTTTAAGGAGTCTCCATACTGATTTCCATAACAGTTGCGCCAGTCTACATTCCCACCAGCAGTGGAGAAGGGTTCCTTTTTCCCCACAGCCTCTCCAACATTTGTTGTTGATTTCTTTATGATAGCCATCCTTTCTGGGGTGAGATGATATCTCAATGTTGTTTTAATTGGCATTTCACGGATGGCTAGTGATGTGGAGCATTTTTTCATATATTTATTCTCTTCTTTAATTTCATCTTTTGAGAAGTGTGTGTTCATCTCGGATACCCATTTCTGGACTAGTCTTTAAATTTTGGGGCCCTAGTATTTTTTAGTTCTTTATAAATTTTAGAGAGCAGATCTTTATCTGAGTACTTATTTGTCATGATTTTTTTCCAAATTTGTGGGTTGTCTTTTCACTTTGTTGGTAATTTCTTTTGACGTGAAAAACTTCTCAGTAAGAGAAGGTCCCAGTTGTTAATTCTTTCATGTGTTTCCCGTTCGATTTGGTATTTGTTCATGAACTCTTTGCCTACCCCTATGTCTTCAAGAGTTCCTCCTACTTTCTCTTCCAAGAGATTTAGTGTTTTTGTTTTAATGTTTGGATCTTTAATCCATTTTGACTTTAGCTTAGTGCATGGTCACAGACCTGGGTCAAGTTTTACTTTTTGGAGTGTCAAGAGCCAGTTTTTCCAGCACAATTTGTGAAAGAAGCCATCTTTCTTCCAATGAGTATGTTTGGCCCCTTTGTCAAAGATAAGTTGGCTGAGTGTGTTCATAGGGGCTTGCGTGTCTCCTAATCTATTCCATTGATCTTCAGGTGTATTTTGTTGCCAGTACCATGCTGATTTTATCACAGTAGCCTTGTAGTATAATTTCAAGTCAGGAAT